TATATATATATATATATATAGAGTTATTTTTCAAACTAAACTGTTTAAAAATATTCTCATAGCTTTTCTTAATATTTTCCAGGAAATGTGTTTTATTAAAAATGCATATTCAATGATAATCTCTGTCTTACTCTGTATCAAGCTTAACCTCGACAGATAACAGAAGTAATAGTAGTATATAAGGATTAAAGCAACGTAAACGGATGTAGGTAGTACCTTGATGAGGATTTTCCTCGGCGTCATTCACGCATTATGATAATCCTGTATTCTCCGTTCTTCAATTATTCATGAAACTCGCTCCGACTTTCCTGCTTAGGCTTCTCTTCGCGGAAGCAGATATTAGTGCAATTTCTGTGCGTTCTCAAAGCTACACGTATTTCCAGATTTTTCAAAACGAATACAACTCGCGTATAACATGTACTTATCCTCGTCATTCGAACTCACGTAACCTTTGGATCGATGCACTATCAACACAGCTGTCTGAAGATAGGCCTGCAACGTGTTTGCATTTGCTCGATTTAACACATATATCTCTCTCTATCGTATCCTCTTTTCCTCAAAAATATAAAAAAAAAAAAGTACAATTTTGTCCCACAAAATATGCAACTCTCTAAAGACATTAAAATCTTATGAGATTCGCGACGGGATTATATTACATTTTGTGTAACAACGTTTTGTGTCATCTACTAAATTAGCATTTCATATTAAATTAATAATCAATTGTTTGCGAATTGCTTTGAACTTTGTGGTGAACAAGATCATAAAATAGAAGACCAAGCGTTTTTTGCGTGAATAACGAAGAAATATGAAGATTAAACTAAGCACATCGAAGCAAGACCGCTCCTTTTCCGTCTAAAGTTCTTTGTTTTCTCACTTCTGATTCACTGGCCTTCGCGGGGAATTCCTTTATCTGTTATCTGCGTTCATTGAATACAGTAGACTTCATTTATAATGTAGGACGGGCAGATCATACGCTCGCTAATTGTAAGTTAATTAGGAGAATGTTTGCAAGTGCAACGTAATCAGAATTATTATGAATACACACTTGATCGATGTAAGTCAAACGATTTGCATGCAATTATTAGCTCTAGCGAGCAAAGGCAAACTTTGAAAGATCTAGTGCTACTTGTATGAAGTATGTTTAAGCCGAAAGTAATCACCTAATTTTTTTTACGTAAACGATCACTTCACGATCATTTTATGAAACTGGGAAGTTTTTATTCTACTAATTAAAATCACATACTATTAACAACATTTTCCATTGCTTTTCTCCGATTTATTAGTATTTGAGAATATTATGAATATAAATATTATGATTTAATCGCAATTTTCTGAAAGTAAAAACCAAACAAAAGTTAATTGGAATAAGCGTGTTAAGTAGCTGTGACAGTATTTCTGAAAAATAAAGATTTTCAACAAAATAACGCTTTTTTATCGCGGATTTTCAATAAAATTGCATATTTACAGATTTGTAAAGAATACAGTTACTAAAAAAGAAAAAATGTATTACAAAAATATGCATAAAAAAACAACACTTAATAATTGTTTTCGCCACTGAGCTTAGCTGAGGTATAAAAATATCCTAGATGACGATTCCCGGGTTAAAAATATAACAAAGCGTATTGCCAAATTCAATATAATAGTGTATCAAGTATGATTGTGTAACAATTTTGAAAATTACATTTCGCTTTATTTCGATTTTGAATTATTATTAATGGAATGTGTTCTTGTTTGGAATAGCAAAACATACACATTCGCGCGAAAATAGCTCTTGCGATATTAACATGACACGGAAAGTGCTATTATTAAGACGTATTATTCTCGTACCTCTCGATTGTTTATAATTGAATACACCGCGGTGCATTTGTCATTACGAGCGTATCTCATTCGTCTTACATCACTCACATGCATCCAAGGATCTACGAGTACGTATGCACCTGCGCACTGCAACCCGCACCTGCGGTTGCGAAAATACAATGCAAAAAGTCACTCCAGCGATATGCGCTCAAAGATAGAAAGAAGCGTTTTTGTCAAAGTGAAAGAAAAGAAAGCTTTAGGATGATCAATAATCATCGCTAAGTTGGGAGCGATAAATTATTAAATCAATAACGAATATTGAAAAATTGTCAATACTAGAAATAACGTAAAGATAATTTCGTCAAAGGGAAAATATTGACAATGTAGGTCACATTTTCGCGTAATGACGAAATGGCTGAACAAACTTTTTTGGCGGACCGCCGTTGTCTCTACTGACGTAAACGTAGATAACAATAAATATTTAGAAATTAACATCCGTTTATCAAGCACACGTACTAACGTTGAATAATTGGGAAAATAAATGTTGGTCGTTCGCGGATTCTTAAATCTCCGTGATCCAAGGGGGGACTTAAAAAAAAAGACCGAAGCGAATTTTCAATTTGAATTATTCTGCCCCAAATTCAAACACAAACGAAAAAAACCGAGAAACATTTTTCATCCACCTTCCCAAAACATCCACTCCGAGGAAAACTTTTACTCGATGCAATATTGTATACAGTTACGTAAATTTCGAATAAAATTTTCCACGAAGAGGAACCTTTCGGAATGTAGACTTAAAAATGTCGAAAGGGTGTTTTTCAGAGTTTTTCCAGAATTTTTTCCGATTTCGTAGAGCTCAAAAATACATTCAGGTACTGGTCAGTGACCCGGTTGGATTAGGAAAAAAAACCAGTGGGAAAAAACATTCGACCACTCAAGTGACAATTGCCGGTGTGGAAAGCAACCGAGAGCGGCAAAACATCGGAACGCGTGCATTTACAAAGTCAAGCCGTGAGTCGTGTCACGATCTGCGTAACGATCGTGACACACCTGTGGGCGTAACTTGGGACGGGAGAAAAAAAGAAACAAGAGCGGAAAAACATCAGATATGGACTAACCGTGAAAACGACAAAACAATTCCAATGAACATTAGGTTCGAGCTCGACCATTTATTTGGTTTTCTTATAGACTTATATGTATATCAGACGTCGTTTTTACGTTTTATCTTGCGACGGTTCTCGAAAGTAAAATAACGAGGCTAAGCCTGAAATGTGCGTCTGAGTCACGAAGGAAACCTGCGTATCCCTGCGATTAGATTAGAGCGAGTATGGCGGCAGCCGGTATGGCTAAACCGTTAGCATTCCAGCGAGAAGGTAAGCTCGCTCAAATCGGACCATTACCGTGCTGCTTGAAGCGAACCCGCTCCGCTCCAAGGTTCCGGCAGGCATTCGCAGTAGTCGCAGTTGAGTCGCAGTTGCAGTGATCTACGGACACTCCAGTCGCCGCAGGTCGATGCGAATCGTAGTGCTTATCGTAAACTTCGCTCTCCCTCCTCGTACAAGCTGTCCCCCTCTTCGCAGAACGTCTCTTGCGAGTTAAATTTTCTGGATTGCTCCGGGTTCCTCAGCGGACCGCTAGAGAAAAAAAAAAGAGAAATCTTCGTCTAGGCAACGACGATTACGACGGCACGCGGCACGCGGCGGTTTCGATCTTGGATCACGGAGAACGGAAAACACGAATCGTACGACGCGGAGGTCGCGACACGTCGCTTTGTTTGTTCTGTTAACGTCGTCGTCGCGGCGAACTCGCGCGACGAGTCCGCTCGCATTCGAGCTCGGGCACAATACTAACAGTCGCCGGCTCGTGTGATTACCCAGCCGGGGCCTGGAGAACGGGCTCTCCTGTGTGTGCCCGCCGGTTAACGATACTTCGTTCGCTTCGTTGCAGCCCGTGCTCCATTCGCTGTCCTCCTCTTCCACATTCCTCTCGCTCTCCTCCCGCACTTCCCCCGCGCGTTCCCCCTCTCCCCTCCCCTCCCCTCCCCGCGCTCCTGCCGCCCCTCTTTCTCTTTCTCTCGTTATGAATCACTCTCTTTGTCGCGTTGTCTGTCCGTCACGCACGCACTCACTCTCCTCACTCTTCCACCCGACTACTGACCTTTCCGTCCTTCTCTTCGCGGCTCGTTTCTCTCTTTAGCCGTTTCTGTCCCTCCCCCTACGTCGGATCTCTCTGAATCTCATACAGTATCTCCTCGAATCGAGTCTACGAATTATCCGCGACGCTTGGAGCCTGGCTTCATCAAGGTCCTCCGTTAGCATTAAACGCTAACGAGTACGTACGCTAATCGTGGCGATAACTTCGTTAACTAACTTGTCGGGGGCAATTTCAGGCACCGCGCGATACCGTATCAATCTCACCCGAACGATATATAACATCTTACGCTACGCGCGTAGTTAGTTAATAGTTTGCGCTGCAATTTTATGTAATGCGATTAAGCGCAATAGCTGCGCCCAACGGGGAAAGGGCATGTAGCTTTCCAACTGTTGGAAGATTCTTTAATAATGGTTTAGGCCCGGCGCGCACAATGGAAGAAATACAATATATATATAAGGACAGGAATGAATATTAAATATTAGAGAAAGAAAAAAAAATGAAAAATAGAGGTAAAATTTAATAACGTGTTAATAATAATCTAATGTTATTAAATTTTATAATTATTTTATTAAGACCTTTACTTATCTGCCAATCTTTTACAGGTCAAATTTTTGGCTCGCAGCCCTTTTTCTTTTAACTTGGTTTTAAATTATTGAGCCGTTATACTATTATATAATTTTAATTAGAAGTTAAACGCACAATGGATGTAAATATAAGATATATTTACATTTTACCTTACAAAACATAACACATAATGGATATAAATAAAATCTTACATTTTATTTATATTCATTATGTGTTTACGTTTACTCTTTATTTTCAATTTTTTCTTTCTCTAATATTTAATATTCATTGCCGTTCTTAATATTTCTTCCATTGTGCGCAGAATTATCTTATACATTTGGATCTAGTAAGGAATTAAAGGCAAGATCAATCAATATTTTAACAAATTATAACAGTTGCTGTTTTTTTTTTTTACTGAAAGCAGTCAATGATTTCCACATGAATCATTCTCTTTCCTTCTTTCCCTCTTCTTCTTCTCTTCTTTTGACAAATCTTGATAAGATATACGCCATTTTCGCGCGATACAAGCACCATCTTCGCTAAATTACTCCACAATTTTAAAGTGATTTGATAAGATCTCGTGCAACGGAACTCGTCGTTTCTTTTATACGCAGGACAAGTTCTCTTCGGAGAAACTTGAGCCGACTCCTTCCGAGTAAAAATTATTATACCAAAAAAAAGTGGTAATTATAAAGCTATTTACCGCTGAGAAAATCAAGAGTTTCAAGAATGTAAATAGACAACAGAGGTTCATCTTCGGTTAATCTTAAACGGGCTTTAATCGAATGGAAATTCTACTTGAGAAATTCAACGGGCGAAATAATTAATGTTGAGCATTAAAAAATTGCGACGAGCGTTTGGTGCGCCATTTAATTTTCCGCTGAGGAAAAATCAATTTCCGAGAACTAGCCTCGGGAACTTGTCATTACAATTTTATAGCGCGCTGGCATGGACGGTACGTTGTAATATTACGCATTAAACTTGTCGAATGTGTCAACCGGTATTTTGATTTGTATGCGTGTCCTATTTATACGCGGTTCTGCATGTGGGACACGTAAACATGCATAATTGAAATAACGAGAGACGATATAATAAAAAGCACAGGAAACATTCTAATATACATTAGAACTTTTCTCTGTTTACAAGTACGTGTCCGCTGCGAGACATTGTATTGTAATACGTCCGTACATGAATACGCATAAATACGGTTGTGTTCAAGCGCTGCTGCGGCTTGAAATTGAGCCAGCCCGAATCCCCGCAGTTTCCCTTTCGTCTAATATCAGTTTAAACGAGACCGCCGAGTGCATTTCAGCAAAGCGCTCCAGCGAGTAGCTCTTTGCACACTAATAAAACATAACGGGATTCAGTCGTCCGGTACTCGAACTCGCTGTAAGAAACAAGTACGCCTATATCGCTCTGGGCGCGTCGGCTAAAACCTTTGGGCACGAACATGCGGAATTATCTGTGCAAAAAAAAAAAAAAAGAGAAAATATCCAAGGGCCTTGTGAATATTTCAGAAACGCTCTTTGGACGAGCAGGTGTAATTAGACCGCACTTAGACTGTCCTGTGGATCTTTGAAAAGTCATTGAAAAACCGACTTGTCTCTTCAGGATCGCCGAAATTGGCTGCGATCTTCATAACAGCATTTCTAACATCTTAGAAAAGAACACGATCAATCGCTAGAAATTAAAATGCCTATAACGGTCGAAGGCTGGATCTTCATCGCTTAAATCATTCAATCTTGAATTACTATATACATACCATGTTGTAGTCTTTCGAATTGCGCGCCGAATTGTTTTTCCGGATTAAACGCAATTAAACTACTCTAGTAATCGCGAATTAAATCTACGAAAAGAATTGTTTCAAAATTATAATTTACATTGACAGCAATTTGCTTGATCTTAAGGTATGTCGAAGACAAAATTGATAACAACGTAGAAACAAGCGCATGCTTATACACAATCAATTGTCGGTAATTTTTATCAGTTTCGCACTCTTTCTCTCGCGTCGAGGCTGATTACCTTACAGCGGACGCTCCTCCGTTTCGCTTAGTGGTGAGACAATACTATGCGGTCGCAGTGGCCAGTTGAAAAATAGCGGTCGTTGCACCGTGAATTTTTTATATGGCCGCGGACGAGCCAAGCACGCGACATGTCGGGCGATGCGTTACGGATAACTCGTAATGTGGACGTGGGCGCTGAATAATAGCTACTTGTGGAGGAAGAGCTTCGATTCCGCGCAATTCATAGCCGCGCCGCGCTACGAGACGCTCTCTCGTACCGGAATGCAATTTGTATTAGCAATGATATATCAGTAATTGCAACATCACGGAGGGCAGGGAGCGCAACTCCACTCGCGACAAGTCCGCCGTTCGCATTCGCATATTCGTGATATCGCGAGTACAGCGGAGATTACCATGTCCAACTATAACGACATTACCTTCTGTCATCGAACCGCGTCGTTTATCGCCGGTTCTGCAATCGCGTTGCAATTATAAGGGATATTCGCTCCGCAAATAGGATGTTATCAGTTTGCATTTACGAAAAAAAAAAAAAAAGAAAAGAAACAATCGCTAAATAATAAATACGATAATAAAATAAATAACGATAAATAAAGGGCAAAAAGACAAATACATTTTTGAAAATTGTCACGCAATTAAAAAGAATAAATTACAAATAGAGAAAAGTAAAATTGAAAAAATATAATAAAATAAAAACTCAGTTTAAATAAAAAGTAAATTACAAAGTTTCGGCTAGCTCGGATTGAGCCCTCTTCAGACATTAACCTATCGTAAAAATCGCTGTACAAAATTAATTATCGGAAATGTCCGCATATTCACTATAATCACAGTTCGGGTGAGTCTTGATGTAGAACTCGACATTATTCACATACGAACAGTCAAATGTGTTTCATATCTCTTGGAAAAAGTTCTAATTGATAAAAAAGAGAAAAAGACGATAACAAGACTTTCGTCTCCTACTCTGTCACTTTCTTTCCCTTTTTACAAAATTTATATTATTTGTTCGTATTATTATAAATTTATATAATTACTTGACTACCATTTATTATAAATTTATATTTATTTGATTATTTATTAATCTGCTTCAGTTAATAATGTTTTAAATTGTACAAAAAAAGATTAATGCGAATGCAGTTCATCAAGATATGATATTTCGAGTTTTAGAAAATAAGCTGCTAACTCAGTATCCTTATTCCCAGGCGTTCTATAATTCATCGAAAAATACATTTCTCCGAAAGGCTGTTTGTTCGGGCCACCTAAATATTTATTTCCGAAACGTTGAGCTAAGTTTCTCGCCGTCCATCAAGCTGGCAAGAATTGTTCTTGACGAACTCGTGGAACGAGCGTTACAACTTGCGTCCCTATGGATGCGGAATACGTCTGTCTAGAATCCGAGTCCTGTATTCATATCGTACGCCTATATGACACTGAATATATTTTACGTATTAATCTCGAATATGTATGCATTTATGTCCCAAATGCGAATTCTGCTTGTCTCATTTGTATACATTTGTGACTCAGACGGCGCGGCGATCTCGTGTTGCACAGAGCTCGCGTACGATACGTTACACGTAATCGTGTTGCAAGATGAGAGGTCAAGGAACGCCTGGGGAAAAGACGCGCTTCCCATACTTATCAAATACGTTTCTTACCTAGAGACGCGGTAATCATGATAATTGATTGTAATTCGCTATTAGCCTTCGAAAACGCAATTGGAATCGCATGACCGCGTTTAGCGCGTTAAATGCGGCGTGGCCTAGGCGAACCCGAGTGACCCCGTGGTGTGCTCGCCAGGTACGAGGTCGTACCTGAACACGCACGCGTAACGGCTGCGGACGAGCACCCCGAAAACGACGTTAAATCAGCAGCACGCGGCG